GAAACGTAGGGATACAGTGCAAAGATCTCCCCAATAAAGTCCCCGAGAGATAGAAGAGACTGCTGGATGGTTTCACTCTCCAGCATCTACCAGACACTGAAATAGAATTGCTCTTTTATTGATCAGGTTCTCATTAGGAATGTTTATGTTCTTACCTTCCAGTGCCGATAATGGTGGCTCCTGAATGGCCAACTCTTCACCCACATAATCATCAGTGGAATGATCTATTTGCCTCTGAGATATAGAACCTAATTCAGCCTCATCCTGGGCAACCGCAGACTCTATGGGAGAAATCACAATATATTATTTTGTGTGATGTCATATTATACCATATCTAGAATGTGCTTCCTGCTTGCAGTCTCGAATGAGATCAAACCCCTAAAATTAACAGGGTAGTCCAAAACCATCATCTGTGCCAACGTTTCGGGTGCCCTGGTGGAGCTCAGAGCAGCACAAATTTACGGTGTGAAATAGGCACCTAAAAAAATGGAACGTTATTTGATTCATGTGAACATTTTAAAAGAGGAACTACAACCTCCTATCCCTTATAGCCAAGGAATTGCCACCTTAGCCTCTATTTGGAATGCAGCTGCCATGGTGCTGTACATGTGATCAGCTATGACACCAGCCATTGGAGAGCTTGAAAGTTCGGATGAGAGCTGAGCAGGATAAGAGAACAGAGTGACAATGAGATGAGCTCAGTCTGCTGTTTCTTCTACAGCCCAGTCACAGGCTGGTGGCAGGACAAGGCCCAGTGGTATTACTTAACTACAGTAGAGAAAAATCAGGTATCCTGCCCAGCCAGACGGGGTTATGCTGTGTGGCTGAGCTGTGTAAATCTCAGGACTGGATAGGCAAAATACACATCATTTGGCAGGTAACACAACTCATTTATATGTATTATTTCTGTGCATTGAGCTGTTTTGACTGGAGTTCATCTTTAAACTACAGCAAAGAATTTAAAATGGCTCATAATTTTAGATATATTCTGCATTTATATTTTTGATATTGATGCCGAGATGCTCTGCAGAACATTATGGAGTATTTACTTAGGGAACAGAACATAAAAGAGGATTTTTGGTAATCATTCCGAGTGGAGTTCTTCTTTATTGCCATGTCTCAGCACAGTCACCTGATACGTCTTTTTTCTTCTTCTTTTTCCTTTTTCTTCTCGGCTGCACTTCATGTTCCCGGAGATCCAGTGTGCTGATCGTTAGCTCTTCTTCCACAAATTCTTCAAGCACTGGATCGTCTTCCTCTGACAGCTCAGGGGTATCTAATGTTAACATAAAAGGGTTATAATGGATATGAAGGGAAGACTACATAGTAACCATTCCTTATGTTGACACTCAATGTTCAACTCCAAACAAAAAACGTTTTTTTGGGATAAATTGGGGAAAGCTTAGAACCTTTGTCATATTTCCAATGATGTCTGTGTTGCTTTAAGGGAGGGGAGATGTTGCCTCACTTCCTGTTCTGTATTTAATGCCACTCCATTCTTCTGAATGTAGTGCTTTTATTAGTGTGTCCCCATAGCAGAAATTCCTCACTTCCTGTTCGGGAGTTAACCCTACTCTATTCTAAATATAGTGCTTGATTGGTGTGTCCCCATCGCATAGAATTCTCACTTCCTGTTCTGAATGTAACTCTACTCCATTCTGCTAAATTTAGTTCTTTCTTTAGGTGTGTGTCCCCATTGCAGAGCTTTAAATAGCGATGTCATCAGCACACCAGCATGACAAAGTCCAAGTAAGTGCAAATCCATTTATTGATAGATGTCACTCAGAATGTCAAGCGCTTTCGGGGGCCACACAGGGTCCCCTTCATCAGGCTCAAAGTAGACATGATGAAGGGGACCCTGTGTTGCCCGAAAGCGCTTGACATTCTGAGTGACATCAATAAATGGATTTGCACTGTCTTGGGACTTTGTCGTGCTGATGACATCGCTATTTAAAGTTCTATTGTGTGTGGCGCAATCCGCGGTCATTTCGAGCACCCATAAAACTCATTGGGATTTCCGGTATGGGGTGCTACAGGATTCATGGACATTTCCCCATTGCAGAGGTCCCACATTTCTGTCCTGAGGACCATAAAAAAAGTGATGTGTACATTTTCATATACACAAGTAGCTGAAACTGACCTAAATCAGTCTCCTGTAATTCTCTGCACAGCAGTACTCAGACTGGGAGGAGAAGAGAGGGCACTCTCAGACAGTCAGGGACCTATTGTTCCAAATACTGCTGTCAGTCTAATGCTGTGAACATTGTTATAGAAGAAGAGAGAAACTGATGACCATATTAATGCTTTAGATCTATCCAAGTTGCATCTATCTTCTTATCTTGCATTGCAGTGTAACTGTACTGTCTAGCTTTATTTTGAACAGCGTTGCGGAGACTTTTGACACTATAACTTCTGCATAAAATAATAATCCTAATCAAGACACAATCTGCAAGAAGTTTGAATGTCCTCCCTTTGCTTATGTGGAATTCCTCCGGGTACTCTGGATTCTTCCCACACTCCAAAGACATGATGGGAGGTTATTTGGCTCCTGTCTAAATCAGCCCGGTATCCATGAATGTGAGATAGGGACCTTAGATTGTAAGCTCCTCGAGGGCAGGGGCTGATGTGAATGTGTAGCTATGTAATAAATTGTTGGCGCCATATAAATACCTGTAATAATAATAATAATAATAATAAATAAATAATAGTAGAGGTGCATCGAAATGGAAATTTTTAAACCGAAACGAAACCAAAATTTTAAAAAATGTCAGGCCGAAACCGAAAATGTTTTTTCAAATAATTTTTTATAAACGTTTTCATTTTTTTATATTTATTTATTCATTTTGTATTAAATAGTTTTATTTTTTTACTCTACTTTTAGGGGCTTCGGGGAAATATCAGGGGTCTGACCCCTGATATTTCCCTTTTAAAATGGAAAAAGAGATTGAGAACACAAAGTCCTCAATCTCTTTTTCTGTGTCCCCTGTTATCAATGAACAGGAATCCTCTATGAGTGTTCCTGTTCATTGATAACATGAGAACATTGTTTGTTTACTATAACTACAACTATGAATGAATGGGGGTGATGTAGATCACTTCCCATTCATTCATAATTGAGGATATAGTTAACATACCATATTCTCAATGATGTACACACACTCAGCGATCACTGATCACTGAGTGTGTGTACATTGCTTTTCTCTCTGACACGCTGTCACGGGAGGCTGAGTGGTGTAGAGAGGAAAGCCCAGCCTCCTGTGACAGTGCTGTCTCCGCCCCCACACAGCTCTGCCAGACTGTTATAGGCAGCTGAGCGGTGTAGGAGGAGAGATGCCGGCCGCTCACAGCGCTCTCGTCCTGCAGCGCTCGGCCGGCTGTCACTTTCTTTTCTCCCTGCTGGAACACAGAGCAGAGCCCAGCGGGGAGGAAAGAAACCAGGGATGCGCCGATGTATCGGCCGAAACATGGCTCTTTCTGCATTATGCCAAAAGTGCCATTTTTGGCCGATATGTTTCGGCGGCCAATATATCGGTGCATCCCTAAATAATAGTATTAATAATCAATGTGCAGCTGCTCACTGTACAATCACAGGCTGGGGAGGGTCCCTGACCAGGCTGTACTGCTAAACTGCATGGAGGTCAGGGACATTGCTGTTGGAGGGGGGCCCTGCCTCAGGAGAATGGCTGAAGAGAATTGCAGATCCTTTTGCAAGTTAAACAATTTGGTATATGTATATCAATGTTAAATATAAATTCTATTTAGAGATTTGCTTGGAGCTTATATGTAAATTGTTCTAGGTTTACAAACAGCAGGGTTTGTGGACAGTGGGAAACATCTTGACAAAAACTCTACAGAAAAAAGTTTCCGCACAAAACGTTTACAGATGTGGTTTTTTTTTTATATATCTTTTTTAAAAGAGGTTTTTTTTTTTTTTTTTAGACTATAATTCACTTTTAAAACTAGTGTCATAATGTCTCCATCTAAAATAACAGGTTTAATATACCATGCCTCTTAAACGTACGTCACTTCTAAGTTATTACCAATGATCTCTTCCTGGTTCTCTGTCCGTCTGGGTCTTCTGGATCTGACAGGCCTCCCGCGTGTGCCCGTGACCGGTACTATTTTGTCTGCATAATCAGAGAGAGTGAATGATTACAGGCGTGATGACACGGTGTGAAGCTTCTTCTCAGATACTACAGGTATGAAGAACACAAATCTCTTGTGACTAGAAGACAAAAGGTAAATACTTGTTTTAAATACCCTGTTTCCCCGAAAATAAGACCTACCCCGAAAATAAAACCTAGTTGTAACCATTCCTAGGGCCGGTGGTGGCATAAGGGGGGGAACATGAAGAGCCCCGGAAGAGGCATTAGAGAATCAGCGGCGCCAATGAAGCCAGCGCTAGAGGAAGCGAGGCGGCAGCGGAGGGAGCAAAGCCGCATAAGCCGATGCCGCCTCTATAGTGCCGGCTCCTGTCACAGGCGGAGTGATACCAAATGCCCTCTGCCTGTGAGGAATCCATAGTGAAAGTGCGCTTTGCTCATTCTGGCCAGCGATTGGTTAACAAATTGCTCTTGGAAAGGTAGGACACCCGATTGCCCTTATCACCATATTTTTGTACACGAATACATGTAGACGTTTCTACATGAATAAGTGTGGATTGTTGTACATAAAAAAAAAAATAAGACCTACCCCAAAAATAAGACCTAGTGTGTTTTTTTGAGCCAAAAAAAATAAAATAAGACAGCGTCTTATTTTCGGGGAAACACGGTAGTTTAAAGCAACTCGGTCACCAGAGTATCCCCTTCTTGCTTGCGATCAGTTTATTAACATTCCCCTGCATGATGCCCTGTGCTAGGACTATGTTAATAAACATGCCCCTTTGAGAGCCCACAGCCGACACTTTGTACAGGTGCTGGCTGACAATCCGAGTGGATACTGACAGTTGGGATACTCTAATCAGGACCAATAAAAATGGTTCCTGATCATATGATCTCTATGCCAGTTATGGCATGATGGCAAGATCAACAGATTATTTCTGGACTTGCTGACAGTGTTCTTAGTCTGAACAAAAAGAAAACAAATGCAGCCGTCACATTCAAGGAGTGGTAAGCTGCAATATATAACATTGTTCTTTGGGCTTAGATACTCTTCATATGTTACATCTACAATCAGCTCCACCTCTTGCTCTTACCGTGTACCTGCAGTGTAAAGAGAAGTGTGTGCACATGTTGGATCTCTCGGAAGGTGGCCCTCCTAGTGCAGAAGGGAATGCTATAGACCCGAGGATCCTTCTTCTGGATAGGGGAGTTCCGTCCCAAGAAAAGGGTCTTGTCAGAGCGAGGAGCACGCAGGAAGATTCCACGAGCCTCACCGATGTCTTCTGTCCAGTTCTGCAACACCTGGTTTATTTCCTGGTGCGGAACACAAAATGATGTGCTGAACAATCTACAGAAGACAGCTGACATACATGAACAATATATGGTTGTCAATATTGCAGTACCATGTGAGAAAAGAAGGGCATTTGTGAGAACTGGGAAAAGCAAAGGCACACCAAGGGCTGCCTCCATGTGCCTTTGGCACACTTTGAAATGTGACATTGCTGTCTTCTTCTGGGTGGAATGACAGCCAATCTACTGAAGGAGAGGACTTTCTGCCGGGGACAGCATCGAACTAAAGAGGAGTATAGTTTTTATAAATGTTGGGCACACATCGATTGCTATAAAAAGGGCCTTGTTTACTGCGTCCAGGTTGGTGGTGCGGAAGTGGGTTTCCTCCTCTCTTCCCCCCCCCTTTTTTTTTCTTGAGGCTAAGGGCTGTATATGTTGAGATACTGGGATTGGGCCGACTATGTAGTGTCATCTGTGTGAACGAGCTGGATTGCTATCTGGGTGACTAAGCTGTAAAAGGAAGGTTTCTTTGCGGACAGCTCACTGTGGTGTTGATGTATGTACGCCTCTGTATTATTTTATTTTTTGGTTTTACTTTGGTCTGTTTTCATTTATTTTACTTTACTGTGTCTTTGCAATGCTCTGAAATTTGTTTTATGTAAGGATTTTTGACTAAAAATGTTCAATAAAAAACTATCTGATTTAGAAAAAAAAAAAAAAGCGGCTACATTTATTCAAAAATTGTGTGTGTGTGTGTACACTGGAAAGTTAAGGTTTCTTTCATTTCTCAGAGACAGTATTGGCGAGACTCCTGTGCCGAGGTCCCGGGTCTGCACACCTGCTGTGTCCATTTTGAGGGGCTTACGCCATCCCTGAGCAGAGTTCTTGGATCTACACACCTGCTGTGCCCATTATGAGAGGCTCTGACCATACCTGCTCTGAACACATGTTGTGCCCATTACGAGGGGTCTCCATCATCACTGCACTGAGTTTCTGGGTCTGCACACCTACTGTACCCTTTATGAGGGATCCTACCATTCCTGCTGGATTTTGTTTAAAGCATGAATAATGTATCAGTAGGAGCTGTGCACACAAAAGCAGATGGGACAGACAAAACTCCCATGTGAACAGGACAGGACAGAAGTCATAATTATGGCAGGGAGATCTCAGTGTTGGAACATCCAAGACATATCAGGAGCCAGGAGGATGACAACTCACCAGGCTCCACCATCAGTTTTGGGTGAGCTGACCTTTTAATAGAACCTTATAAATTGTATCATATTTGCATGAAGTATATTCCTTACTGCCATTAGTGCCGCCTGGTTGTATCGTCTCAGAGCTGCCCCGGCAGACTTGGCCATGTGACTGCGGTTCTGGGCATCATGCAGGGCTTGAGAAGTTCCCCTTTTTGCTCGCACTGTGTAACGATGGAAAGTCTTGTGTTTCAACACCTCCTTTCTGTATAAGGAAGAGAAAAGGAACAGAATGGGACATGAAGAAAAAAGAAGGATTATGGAGGACATGCCAGACATGATACAACCTGAGAGCACAAGCCTCGATTCTCAAGTTAGCCATTCAAAGCATATGTTTTTTTTATCTTTCAAAGCTTTAAGGTTCTTCACTCACAAGACATGCGGAACCTCGGCGCGAGTGGCGAACTTACATATTTTGATCAAAATACAACAAAAAAGTTTTGCTACTCTTTAAGAGAAAATACAAAAAGAAAAAGAAGAATGGATATATAACCTGACCCCTTAAATACTGCGCCAGCAAAATGTCCTCCCCCAGCCATAAGAATGACCATGGTTGGCCGGTCCTGTAGGCTCTTTACGAAACTCAGTAGCTGTCCTGGGCTCACTTCCATGTCCTGAAATACACAACTTGCCATCAATACCTGAATAGTGTCAACCTGACAATGTAGAGTGATCACTATGGACTTACCTTTGTTACTCCCAACACACAGCGGTACACGGACAGCAGCTTCCCCTGCCCATTCCTGAACAGAACTCTTGGGGAGCGGTTTGGATAACCCAAGTCCAGAGAGGACTCCACAATCAGCTCAGTTGAGGTTACTGAATCATCTTCATCTGAGCTGTCCAAATCTGAGCCAGAAATACTGGACAGATCCCCTGCAAGGAAGCAAAAAACAGACCGCTTACCACAATCCTTGTCACCTTTCATCTGTATCTTGTATTCTAACCCATCCCCCTGCTGCTTGTCATGTCCACCATCTCTCTCACCTGCCTGCGTCTTGTCCTGGAAATCCTCCTCGCTCAGAGCACCTGCCCCCTTGATTCTACGTTTTAGGTTAAAGCGATGCCAGTCCAATGTGTAATGTTCTTTCTGTAAAAGAAAATATATAATCTTCTAGTGAGAATAACCTTTTCTCTGTGTAAAAACCTATTTTCTTTGTACAGTCTGTAAACATATATGCATATAGTAGCAGTTCTTTTTGCTCACTGAATACACACATTTTTGCAGTGCTGCACAATGTTTGTGCTTTATAGCTTTTTATCACAATGCACATCTGAGTCAGCAGGGCTTGCACACACCACCACCGCTGCATTGCTCTACACCCCTGGGGCATAACACGCGGCCAGGGGGCCACATGCAGCCGTCAAGTGCTCAGTGTGCAGCCCTCTGTGCTCGCACCTCAGTTCAGCTGTGGAGTACAAGGAACTACACAATGAGTGCCAGCTCCTTCAGAAAACCAGAACTTTGTGAAGTTGCCATAAATCAGCTGTCCAAATGACAGTTAAGTCCTACCCTGTTGCAGGACCTCCGACAGCGCTACTGTATACGTGTGAAACAAAACCGACGGCTTGTTAATACAGGAGCTCTGTTAGAGCGGGACTTTGCAGGGTTTGCTGACCCCAGTCCCTACCCACATCTTTCTGCTACCACTTCCCCGGCCACCTCCTCAAACAAACAAAGAAACAAACCTAGAGGGGTTCTAACCCTTCCCTACTCTATAAAAAGTTCTGACTATTTATACACTTTAAGGGAAACCTATACTGTAAGAAACTTGAGGCTTGTCACTGTTGACTGCCTTGTGAAAATGTTAGTTGCCTGGATGCAGCTATAGCGGAAGAACCATCTATAGCCTATATTGCCCATAACAACCAACCAGACAATCCTCCAATGCAGTATGGCGCAGGAAAGAAATATCTGATTGGATAGGCAGCAGAAATTGTGAAGGGATGTGCCTCTCTCAGACAGTTTGCTAGTTGGAGGTAACTGTATCAAATAGCTCTTGCTATACCTCACAGCTAGGGATGGAATTAAAACAGACATCCAAACACGCATCTTCTGAAAGAAATACAAATAACACTTACTTGTTCCTCTCTGCTGTCAAATGTGCACTGACAGGTGGTGCAGCTCATCCGATCGGAAATTTCCGGGACACTGGACCCTCCACTTTGACTATTTCTTCCTGGATGAAAATTATAACTATATGTAAAAAAAAGTCAGGTATACAAGGCGTCACAACGTAAAGCTGAGCAGCTTTACGCGTAAAGCTGAGCAGCAGCTCGCGGTATACTGCGGCATCTCAGTATACCGCGAGCTACAGCTCGCGGTATACTGAGCCTAGGGTGACGGGAGGATGCTAGTTTGTGTCCTCCCGTTACCCTAAGGAGAACTATGGGGAAAAGCCTTAACCCCATAGTTCTCCTTTAAGTATTTTAACTCTTCTGGCGACGTACACTGTACGTCGTCAGTCACGAAGGGGTTAAAGTCCAATGCCGGTCCCTCTTCCCAGTTAAATGGTGGCCAGCATTATCTAAACCACTTCCTGTGTGCCCATGCTGTCATGGATACAACCCCTGGCGGCACAGTGTATTCTTGGGCGGAGCAGTGTTCACCCCTCATTACATATGCATCACTCAATCCAGGAGGGAGGAAAAAAGGAAGCACCCGTGATGTCACCAGACAGAATGAAGATTGAAGGACCCTGCTATATATTCATATATCCAAGGAACAGGTAGAAAGGATGCTGCTGCTCTGAGCAACACAGACAGTTATTTCTTCAGATACATCCATACATAGGTCTGTCTACATTTTCCAGCTTGATTCTTACCTGGGAGCTTCTGTTTATCTTCTACAAAACCCTCTTTTGCATTAGTGTTATTATTCAGGAAGAGGTCCGAGAACAAATCGCTTTCCAGGCTCAGGTCGAACAGGCATAACGTCTGTGATCCAGGGTACCTGTCAACATTGTTTATGGGTAGAGGAAAAGAAGAAACAATGACTGTTCTATGCTGCATATGATCCGTACAGTTACCTGGCTTGGATACTGATCTCATGACTTCTAGAGTCTCAGACCTGGAACACATATGGACATTCTGATTCCATCTGTCATAGTTGCTCCAAGACAGACAGCACTGAAGCCAAAGGATCAGCATGATCATCAGCCTACTAGTATTTTCAGAAGGAGGGTAGTGAAGGAGTTTCTTTAGTGCCTAGTGTACTTTAATAAAGGACTATGTATTATTCTTTCTTCTCATTGCAGCCTATGGCATGACTTCCACCACAGGAGCGGAGGAGACCCCGACTCCACAGTCTGTAGTCGCCATAGAGCTGCACCAGCTATAACATAATACAATAATATGGAAAACATCACACAGACACTCACCCCTCCATGCTGCTCACGTGGGACCCGGCTGTCACTTTTCTTCCGCGTATGACGACACTTCCGCCCAACCCAGCTCTTCGGAGACAAGCCTTCTACCTCAACTCTGACCCAAAACAAACCGTAAGCCCCGCCTGGCGGAACGTGACTGGTCGGCCCGGTACCGACCCCGCCCATAATTGGCGGAGAAGACGCCCGCAGCCTTGAAGCCGCATACGGATTGGTTGACTCACTCGTCACTCTTGCTGAGTGGCAGTCTGAGCTGAGGGGAGAGGCGAGGAGCGGCCGTGTGGAGAGATATAGAGCCCCTGAGAGGAGGAGGGCTGAGGAGGGGGCGAGGAAACGTACTGACAGGAGGAAGATAAACTGACATCAGTGTGAGTGTTTACTGACACACTGCTATATACTGACAGTGGGATGTCTATATACTGACACACTGCTATATACTGACAGTGGGGTGTCTATATACTGACACACTGCTATATACTGACACACTGCTATATACTGACAGTGGGGTGTCTATATACTTATTGGTGATGTATAGGACTGTGTGGTCGGTGATGTGTAGGACTGTGTGGTCGGCCATGTATAGGACTGTGTGGTTGGTGATGTGTAGGACTGTGTGGTCGGCCATGTATAGGACTGTGTCGTCGGTGATGTGTAGGACTGT